AAGGCAGTGAATGCCCCCCCCCCCCCCCCCCTCCCCGTGCTGTCCTGCCCCAGCACGATCATCCCTCCCCACCGGGGAGCTGACCCGGCAGCCCTGGCTGCCAAAGCAGCATCAGCACTCACCACTGCCAGTACTCCCATATCCTGTTGGCAGAGCTGCTGCCCGGGGAGGGGGAAGCCTCCTCACCCCTCCTCGCCCCCTCCTCACCGCCTCTATTACAGGGGAAAAGCTGGTCTCTGAATGCAGTGGTACAGAGGACTCTGTCTGCACCCCCTGCGAGAGCGGCCACTACCAGCAGAGCTGGACCAAGGAGAGGCACTGTGCCCCCCACGATATCTGTGAAGACAGTAAGTGCTCCCCATGCCCACCAGCCCTGCTTTGCCCCCAGGCTCACTCACCCAGTGTCTCACCTCGCCCCTGCTCCCTTTGCCCAGACACTGGCCTCATCGTGAAGACACACGGCAACGCGACGCACAACACAGTGTGCCAGTGCCGGGCTGGCATGCACTGCTCCGACACCAGCTGCCAGACGTGCGTGGAGAACCAGCCCTGCCCGCACGGCTTTGGCTTCATGGCAGGGGGGGAGGACAGAAGCTCTGGCAGCACTGACCTCGGGTCCTCCAGAGAAAGGGGTGCTCCTCCAGCAAGGTGCCCCTGGCAGGGCTCCAGCAGCGCTGTGCCTGCTGCTATGCCTGGCAGCATTGCCACAGCCCCTTGCCCCTGCTGCCTGCACTGACCTTCCTGCAACCTCTGCTCCTTCAGCCAAAGCCATGGCCCGGATGTCATCCCCATGTGAGCCCTGTGCAGAAGGCACCTTCTCCAATGTCTCTTCCAAAACTGAGCCATGCCATCCCTGGACAAGGTATTGTCTGAGTGCTGACCACATCCTTCACCCATCCCCAGCTGTTCCACATCCCTCCGAGCACATCCTCTGCTGCCAACCTCCTTAGTGGCCTTGGGGAGCGGATGGCTGGGCAGTTTGTGCGACACAGCATCAGGCTGGCATAGGAGCAGAGCTGTGAGTGTGGCGGGGTCCAGGGTGGTGTGGCTGAGCCCGAGGCAGACATTCAGGTGCTTGTGACCATCTCTCTGCGTGTGTGCAGAGGGCTCGCCCCTTCAGGGATGTCCACACTGTCATTACCTCCCCACGGAGCCACTTGTAGCCTGTCATCAAGTCCCCTCCTAGCTGTTCTGCAGGAGCCGCGGTGCCCGAGCCCTTCATCTCCCTGACTGGGCAGGTCTCAGACGTTCACTCCCTCCTGTGCCTTGTCCCCAGACTTGTCCCCATCTTCAGCAGTTTCAGCACCTCCAGACCAGGATCCTGGTGTGGGGCTCTGCTGCGTACCTGGTGTCCCCATCACACAGCGCTGGCCCCTGGCCACTTGTCCCTCTGGAGCCTGGCAGGCTCGGTGCAGGACATGGAGCAGCTGCTCCTCTTTGGGCTTCCCATGTGCTCAGGCTACTGTGGTTACACGGTCTAGTTCTTCCCGCAGCTGTGAAGAAAAGGGGCTGATGGTGAAGGTGAAAGGGACCAACACTTCAGATGTGATCTGCGGTAAGTGCCCAGTGCCAGACTGGTTCAGAGCAGAGATCAGGTGCTGCTACAGCACTGGGAGGAGCTGGCCTGGCCCATGGGTATTTCTGGGAGAGCAGGGTCTGACTACAGTGCCAGCACAAATCCTCCTGCTCCTCTCTATCCCCATGAGGGATCCCTGCGGGACTGGCCCTGGAGCAAGGCAGCTCTGGGCACTTGGTGTCTCAGCGTTGCGTGGTGCCTCACCGGCTGTCTCCTCGCAGAGTCGGGCAGGCGCTCCTCGCTCTCAGTGCTCATCCCTGTCGCTGCTATGGTTGTCACGTGCCTCGTGGGCATCTTCATCTACTACTACCTGGTGCACAGGGGTAAGGGGCTGCCTTGGCCAGCAGGGCCACATGGGGTGGAGGAGCCAAGCAGGGGGCACGGCAGCAGCTCTGCTGAGAGTGGGGCAGCCCCTGTGGGGACACTGCTGGGACACGGCTGGCCCAGCCCCATGCCCTGCTGGGT